ACAAACTCATCCGCGATTACTATATCAAGTCCAATAAAGATAAATCAAATGAGGAGAAAATTTATACATCGGCAACATAAGTTCCAGGATTATCAGAGAGGATTAAGCACTCTAAAATGTTTGACAGAGAGAAATTTCACATAGCGTTCACGAACACCAAAGACAAAGTTCCTAAAAATGAGAAATCTGACGTAATCTACAGAATACCATGCAATGGTGACGGGTCCCACGTATGCGATATGGTATATGTGGGGACAACCAAATCTAAATTGAAGACAAGGATTTCCGCTCATAAATCTAACATAAAATTAAGGAATAACTCTATGGACAATAAGACAGCCTTAACATCTCACTGCCAAAATATGGGACATTATCCCGATTTTGACAATGTAGCAATCTTACAGGAAGAGAAAAATTACAATAAACGTTATACTCTAGAGATGCTACACATCATGAACACCCCTAATAATAGAAGGATGAATTTTAAAACGGACACAGACAACTGCGCTCATGTCTATCGCAATTTAATTCTCACGCACAAAAACCAATAACGTAGGTGTCATGTGTTTATGTGTTCATGTGACTGTTCGTCGGTCCGCCACCAGTACTTCGTCCGACAATAACAATGCTATGCCATGCTTTTCTACATACAGATTCTCTCCGTCCTACTGTCCACCACTACATGTATTGTTGTTTGTATATTTTTTGTTTACATTTACGGTATTTCGACTTGCCTAAATTCTCTTGTTTATGTTTAAGTGTTCTTTGAGCTTGTTTGTTAATATTTTTCTGCACATAGAATTAGTCGATTGGAAAAACTCAATAATGTAAGTTGCGTTTTTGATGTAAGTTTTTTGTAATTTGACGTAAATATGTATGCATTTGGTGTTTTTCAGTCCTGAAGAGGCCTTCAGATTGAAGGCGAAATATCGACAGCAATAAATGTAATAAATAAAACTACCAAAATCTATGTTTTATTTAATAACCGGCCTGGAGCTCAAAATTAACGAATACATTATAATAAAACGCCCAAAAACAAGAAACTAATCATTTTACATTATTTGGATAAAGAAAAGTTAAGGAAATTCAACATCGATGTGATGCTGATAGAAATTTGGATCAATTTGTGATCAACTCTGTTTGTTTTGTTTCCTAATTAAGTGAGGAAATTTTAATGGACAGCACCCACAAATGAATATATACCTAAGCAAAAGTTCGGTTATGGTTAAAACAATTCAAGTTTTTGTATTGAATTTTTGGTTTAAAATTCATTTTTCCTTTTCAGTAGGGGTTTTGCACATTATCTTCTGCGTGAGAATTGATCGTAATAGATACGGATCTGAATAAGCGACTGGAACACGGCTGTTTGTCAAAAGCACACGATTTCGAACTCGCGTAAATGTACATTTGCTCAATGCGATCATGATGCAATAATACAAGGTGGCATCAATTGTGACAGCTCGATTTGACACTGCCTTAGCTCAGTAGAACGAGAAGAAAAACGGGAAGAAATTAAGCCCCATTTGGGGAAAAATATAAAATTTCACATTTTTTCCTAAACAAAATTTGCTTTTTTATAGTATATTCGTAATGAAATGAAATAAAATAAGATAAAATACCTTTTTAAGAAAAAAATGTGTATACTGAGAAAAAATTAAAAAATATTTAACTATATTATTAGGCAAAGAATTGTTAAAGAAGTAACACTGTCTCACCTAAGGCAGTCAATATGGCGGAATTAGAGCGAGAAGTTGCCAACTGATAGCACCTGTATTATTGCATCATGCAATGCGATAGCATGAACGCTCTTCGAAAACATATGTTCGAAAGTGCTAAATGTTGCATTTTAAATGCAGCAAAAACGCTGCATAACGTTTACAGCGCGAAAAATAATAGTTAATACCCAATAAACACCAAAAAAATATTTCTCCAACCTAGGAGAAATTCATTGTTCTCAAGTTGATATCCAACATCATCCTCCAACTCATCTCTAACCCACGCGCAGATACGTAAAAAGCGATAGAGTTACGAATTTTTAATTATCAAGTGAAAAACTAAAGCTATATAAAGGGGAAAACTACCAACGAAAAGTAAATAATCTTCAAAGTATCCTCAAATATTCTTGAAAGAAAATTAAACGCGAAGTGAATCAAGTGGCAAAATTACTTTCGGACTGCATACTTGGAAGTGAATTATTGTAATCAATACTACATAATACAAAAGGAGCAATAAAATGAAAAATTAATATTTAAATTCATCTATGTATGTATGTCGTTTCAATCAAAAAGATATAAGGTATTTTACTGTTTCAATTTCAGTATTTCAATGATATGTTTGAGACCAATTGGAGAATTACATTGGAGTTCAAGTCGAGAACTAGCATTTTCTCATCTTGAGAAACAGTCCTTTTTTCATACAAAGAAAAATCCCCTTTTTGTTGAGAACGCTATGATCCTCCACTTGAGGTACTGTTGAGAAACAACGTTGGAGATTTGAGAAATACCTTAGTTCTCAACTTAACCTCAAGTTGAGCTCAAACCTAAGGGCCGGTTGTTCAATGTCTGATTAGCACAAATCGGAGGTAGAAGCTCCGGTTAGGTACAACGGCTGCTTTACCGATCACATGTTACATGCAACATGTCGAAATCGTCGATAGTGTAGTGGTAGTGATAACCAGACATTGAACAACCGGCCTTAAATGTTTATTGGGTAGTAATTGCGTTAAAACGTCTGTATCAGTGTTGCCACTGGCTTAGCTTTCAAAGTATCGATAAAAAATCGAAAACTGTATCGAAATGTGTCCACCGAAAAGTGCGGACATTTTTACACAGTGCATCTATGGAATACAAACTCGGCCCCTTAATAAACTTATTAACATGTAGTCAGTATTTTCCCATCCTTAGACACGGATTTAAGAAACAAAGTCGACTCTAAAGTTAATTGCAGCTTTTTGACATAATTTTCAATGGGATATCTGTCAAAAAAGCTGCAACTAACTTTAGTGCCGACATAATTTCGAGTATACCTACGGGTCTTTGTTTCCCAGATCTGTCTCTAAGAATCGGAAAATACTGACTACAATTATGGGCCAAAGTTTCCGCATGTCCGATGTTTATTACTACGATTAGATTCTCGGCATTACAGTTAACTAATACAGGGGCTCTATTCTGTAACTGTGAGTTTTCAACTCTACACTGAAAATTGTATGCACTCTTCATTTTGCGATTCAGGAAGAGTGAGAATGAGTTTTAGCTGTCAAAATTGTGTACACTTCCTCATTTTGCTATTCAGCATGTATGAGAATGAGTTGTAACTGTCAAAATTGTGTACACTTCTCTTCCGAAAAACTCACTGAATTTTAGTCGGTGGTTGTGACTTTTGCACTGGGTGTACACTACATTTTCTCACAGGTACAGAATAGGGCCCCTGGTCGGGACACTTTTTAAAATTTGCAAACTACTTGGTATTATTAAATGCATTCAATTAAATTTTATTTTTCAAAGTGACAAGAATAAGTGAAAATTTTTTGCTTGGATGATGAGGAGCAAACTGTTAAAAATGTTGAAGTAAACGAAGTATCCCTCAAAATACCTTGTATACCTTGCATTATGTCTACTTTGGCACCATCTCGCGGTTTTCGCCGACAATTAAGTTGCCAAAAAGCACAGGGCGATTCATATTAGATATAAACGTAGATCAAAAAATGTAGGAGCAAAATTTAAGGTATCGGGTTGCGCTACGAGTACTTTTTTTCGATACCTAGTCGACGTTCAGACACGAACGAGGAAAGCGGACGGGTACCGAGTCGCCCGTACTCGGGAAACATGCCTTGTGCTCTCGTTCGTCTGAGTAATTAAAGTTGGCGATTCACAGCTGACAACAACAGGTATAAAAAATGTCAAAATTCCTTGGACACACACGCGAAATAATGGCAATTTTTTCTTGACCGTTTTCTTAAGAGCTGGATACTAAGCTATAAGGTGAAGAATAATTTAACACAACGGCATGATTTATAGAAGAATTTGCATAATAAAAATGATTATTCATGCGTTCAAAATTACGCGGTTTTTTTTTGTTCTCTTCGTTGTTTACTTTTTCCAACAAAGATGGCGTCGAGATTTCAACAGCTAGAAAATAACTTTTTTCTTTCTTTCGGGAAGGCTTGATCTTGTGTCTTTCGTTCATGGACCTACTCAGTACTTGGTTCAAAAGTATCGATGCCAAAATTACTTGGTATCGAACGAAAAATATCGAGTATGTAGTTGTATTTAATCTCATCTCATCTCATTAATTTCATTCCTTATAAGGTTGGNTCGAGATTTCAACAGCTAGAAAATAACTTTTTTCTTTCTTTCGGGAAGGCTTGATCTTGTGTCTTTCGTTCATGGACCTACTCAGTACTTGGTTCAAAAGTATCGATGCCAAAATTACTTGGTATCGAACGAAAAATATCGAGTATGTAGTTGTATTTAATCTCATCTCATCTCATTAATTTCATTCCTTATAAGGTTGGACTAGAGGTGTTAAACTATTGATAGTCACACCATCGATAGGTTTGATAGTTTTCAGAAAAACTATCAATATTCACGATATTCTCGAAAAAAAACAAAACTATCGATAGCGCTATCGATAGTGCTAAATCAGTTAGGTTGCTTTGTTTTTACAGGATCATAGTGAAATAATTATTATCTTATAAAAGTTATAATCATTCAAAATTAAGAATCTGCTTAGCCAAAATACTTATCTTTTTAATAAGTTCAAAAACAAACACAAGTTATACAAACAAAACAGGATTTACGATTAACACATGTATGTATGTTGGCCTAAATGCGTGCATATTTGAATATGACGTCGGCATCACACTAAAAAACAAAATTTTTAATTCAAATTAAAAAATGCAGTTATTACCAACAATAGATCGATAGTCCTACTAAACTATCGATATTTTTGATAGTATAAGATAGAACTATCAATGAGTATTGATAGTCTAAAAAAATTTAAACTATCGATACTATCGATAGTCCCATCGATAATTTGACAACTCTAGGTTGGACTGTCGTGTCTGTTATAAGAAATTAATTAAATAGTATTTTTAAGTCGTATGTAATCAGTTTCCCTTTTTACCAGCGAAATGTCAAGTATGACTAACTTATCCAGCAATGAAAAAGGGGAACTTATTGAGCAAGTTAAGCAACAAATCGCAGTGGCCAATGCTCAAGAATTGTTGACTGTAAGCACATGGGTTTATTATGTTAAGAAATTATACAATCAGCAATGTGGTTTTCATTTGCAGAAAATGACAGAAAAATGTTTCAAAAAATGTATTGGCAAGCCGGGCGTCGCATTGGATTCCTCAGAGCAGGTGTGCACAGCACTTTTATAGTGTATCGCAAATTTGTACATTGGGACGGTTGAAATAAAATATCTTGAGTAAAAGTGCACCGTAGCAGTGTTGACTTTAGTGCACATCGACAAGTGTGTGTTTTACCAAACCTATCGCGAATTTTTTCATGAAACTTTACGAAGATAAGAAACATTTATATTTACATAAGTTCTCGCTATTTTCACTTTGTTAATACCAGTATTAAGTAATTTGGGGGGTGGGGTTTAGTACCGCTCACAACTATTTCGGGCTATTCCGTCCAAATGGGTGGCCCGATCCAAAAAAAAATTTCACACACTTGTAGTCAAGGGTCCACGCAATATTTTAACACTCACTTTTGTAAATTTTGGTTACTAATTTATTTACAAATTGGGTTTGAAATATGCCCTTTTTTGTAAAATTCGGAAATTAGCGTACATTTATCACTCCTATTCTGCTTAAATTAGCCACTTCACCAATATATTTTTGTATTCCCCTTCACTTTACACTTTACTTGATTTGTTATAACTTGCTTTACGACTTTAATATTAACCAATTCATCACAATTCATTAAATAAAAACACCTTCAAAATCACGCGTCTGACTTTGGTTGCATATGCAAATTAAATGGCAAAAACTTTTGTTAAATTTCGTTGTTTTCTATGAGCAATTACCACGTCAAAAATGCACTAAATCACCAGTTTCCACTTTTAAAACACTACTAAAACGTTTCCGGTTATTATTTTATGCAAACCAAATCATTTATTCTCTTTTATTGTATATATTTCGTTAATAAAACAGAGTAAACAAACTTTGCGTCTGCTAAAATTATTATAACCTCAAATCGCTGGTATTGCCACTTTATTTCACAGTTTCATTTGCGCTATTATACTCAGTTTACACTATACACTTCTTCTTCTTCTTTTTACATTCATCTAAATAAGATATGGTAACCAAAATATAATAGCAAATTTCGCTATACCATCGCGCGATTTTTTATTAAAAATTTTCATTATTTATCGAAGTATTAATTTTTATAGAAAAAGCGCCGCAGGCGAAAATTTTTAATAAAAAATCGCGCGATTTTTTATTAAAAATTTTCATTATTTATCGAAGTATTGATATCTATGGAAAAAGCGCCGCAGGCGAAAATTTTTAATA